GATCACTGGCACACCGTAGAGCTTGGCGACCTGCAGCAACAGCTTGAAGCTTCTTGCAACAGCGTAACTCACCATCTTCTGTGGAATGTCTAACAACTATACAAGACAATAACTGTATAATCATATATAGTTACTCTCATGTGTGCACATCTAGCATCCATCTCCCAGTACGGCCCGCACCTGACGCACGTGCAAAGCACCCGCGATGGTGCCGGCAATGGAGGCGGCGTCGTCGCTATTGTCGGCGGCCTTGCCAGCGAGGAACTGGCCACCGCCCTTGGAGAAGGTCACCATCACAGGGCCGCCGGCCTGGCAACGGAACAAAGGGGTGAGCGGCAACGGATTAATATGATTTGTACTTGTACGGGGGACTTTAAGTCCTTTCAATCTGTCAATGCATCACCGTTGAACTTCCTCAACCTCCAGTGCCTGCTTTCCTTCCAACATGAGTTAGTACCTCAGGTCCTGGAGGCAATCCTATCTCCTCCTCATGACAAAGAACCTTGCCTTCCTGCTTTCCTTTCACAGCCGCCGATGCTCCAACGAGGTATCTCTTAGTCGTTTGCGTTTCAACACAAGGAGGACCAAGTTGACTACCAAGCTGGGGCAAGAGTCCAGGTGTTCCTCCCTGGACTGGCGGAAACATCGGCATCCTCAAGCCTTTGTTGGGCCTCATAAACCACTTCAGTCGACTACGTTCTCAGTCGACCACTGCCCCCCCCTGTCACGACCGACCCACGTCCCAACCGCTCGCTGCCGCACCTTCTTGGCCGCTTCCATGCAGGCGTTCACGCTGCTGGAGCTCACCACGTTCACGCCAGGGATGGCGAACTGGTTCTCCTCGGTTCGCGCGGTTCGCGCGGTGAACCCCGATGGTTGCGACGCGGTCACGTGACCACCTCACATCGCCCGGTGTCACGACCGGCGCCCATCATGTGTCATCCAGGTATATCATGTCAGGTCTATCATGTCTATCATGCGTCTGATAGTGATCGTCTGCATTTATTCCAACAAAAGATCAGTGAAGTCACATATGTTTTGTCTGCTTCTTTTCATGGGAGTGCGTGATGGGTGAGGGGTGAAGGATACAAGACCCAGAACTTGTGGCTCTGTTCAGTTCGATCAAAACAAGTACAGTTCAGCGTCCTTGGCATAGTTCAGCAGATCGACCAAGGCCTGTCCGGTCACCACACCAGGCTTCACCTCAGCTCACCCAGGTGGAAAACCACCTATAATTACTAGACTCTGAAGTAGATGACAACTTAAAAAAACCCACAAGCTTGAAGAAGTTCTTCAATCATCTTCAAAACAAATGGAGGGTTATGAATCAAGAGTCTACATGATGTGACTTTGCTGCAATGAAGCAATGAAGCAACACGAGCATTGGATGATATCGGATGTCATGAAGACAAACGGAGAGAACATCAACATCTTCGTGTCGTCAGTTTCCCTCATTTGCAAAGAAGATGTGTCCAGCATCAACCAGAAACCTCTCCTGTTGTCCTATCGCTCCAAACATGTGTCGTCAGCGCCCTCCCCAAAAAACATCACACAACACTCAGTAGCCATGGACACGATCAAACAAACCCTGAACACCCTGAACTCACGCCATGTAACGGATGCCGGCATCTTGGTGAAGGTCTTCTCTGCCACGGCCGTGGCCTGACGCACCACCTGTGCTCGGCGCACGGTGCGCTTGGCCGCCTGGGCGGAGGCCACGACGACGCCAGCGGCGCCAAGCGCCATGACGCCGGTGGAGGAGGAGGAAGAGCTCTCGGCAGGCTGCTGGCGCAGGTGGCGCACCTGAAGCTCCTGGAAAAGTTTGATAGCCGACTAGCCGACTTGAAGTATCTTTTCATATATCGAATCAGCTGTGAGGGTATGTGAGGGTAGGTAGCTGTTAGAGATTTATGGAGATTTAATGAGATTTATCACTTCAAGCTTGAAGGGATCAGAGTAGAGATCTGAAAATCAAGAGCTTCTGCATGAAAGCATATAGCTTCAAAGAACTGGTTTGCAATCGCCCTTTTTTGCAAATGCCGACGAAAAACAGCGGTGGTTGCAAAACCAGGGCAACAACATGCACTTGGTCACCTTCAATCTTGGGTTGTCACCACTACGCGGTCCATACTGCATAGCCTTAAAGATGCTGGCATGCTGGCACTTTCCACGTATGGAGTTATACTTCCCCTCGGTCTAAAGGCCCCCATAAACAAATCCAAAACTTCATTGACATCTATATAAATACTTCTAACTTCTAACTTCTAACAAACAAGACTGACAAGACCCCAAACAATCAAAACATTGCAGTTTCTATCTGCTTTCATCTCTCTTCCAGCCATCTTTCCACATGTCACATTCCTGCCCCATCACTGCTCCCATCTCTCCTGGTTCACCTGCGGCGCGGCAGGTGCCAGGAAGGCGGTGGCGGCCGCATAGGCACCGGCGCCGGCGAGAGCCACGGAGCAAGCTTTGGAAGGCATGGCGAAGGGACGCAAAAACGAGGCGAAAAACGAGGCAGATTAAGTCTTGGGCCCTGCGATGAGCATCGACGCATGAAGAGAAACCAAAAACAAAACGGATATTTCCTGGATTGAAGAATGGATGTTGCTGTTCTTGGGCTTGCATCTTCGCTTTGGGGAAATGGGGCCTATAGCAAATCACGGTTGGTAGAACAGGTACCCATTGAGTGTGGTGGTATCTGAAGACACCACTGGTTTTTCAGCTGGAGATTTGCAAGGAGATGTGGCTCCATAGTTGTGTAGCTTGCAACTGCAACTAATATCCGACACCTCTTGGCAGCCCAAGGCCCAAGCCAACTGCAACTGTTTGGCGTTGTGAAAAGCGGATCTGTCACTCGTCTCTTCTTGGAGCTTATGCCCAAGGACCCGGAAAACATGTGTTGTTCACCAGGGTCCCTCAATGATCTTTAAAAGAC